CTTATTTATTCAAATTGTATTAATATGTAAAGACCAAGTGTAACCTATATCATCGTTAATTCTTATCTTATAAAATCAGTGGAACTTCAAAATCGTTAAAATYCATGGCTCCCGCCGCATTGCGCGGGTACACAACTAGTAAATTATAAATGATACAGATAAAAGCCATAATTTTTAAACCATAGGTATAAAAATCACAAACTTTAATAAACTATAAAGACCAAAATATAATTTACTCTGTTATCTTTGGTGTGTAGAATTCTGTCTTGGTAGATATAAGTATTCAATAACCAGCATGGAAGTGGTACAAGTTATATTCAAAATATGTAATATTTTTTAACATAAAATGTCTTAAAATGCAACGAATTTTGGTTTTGTTTTGATTAGCGTAATGAATTATTTCCTTTACTTTTTTTCTATTTTATACGTATTGTGATATGCAACTTGATAATCACGTTGCGTTTGACGACGTAGATATTGATTACATAGACTGCGCCTAGTTGTCAAAAAATTTAAAATACGCTAGTTTGGTTGGTATTTTTGTAAATTTTGTTTTATGTTATCTGTACTGAGATTGAATAAGTTTTTCATGCATGACGAAGCTTTTTGTAGTTTGAATTGATTTCACGTTCAGTTTATCGTGTTCGGTTTTGATTAACTGATTAGATGTCTAGTTGCATGATTACTTGGTGAAGAGGGATCTAAATCCTCTACTTAGACACTTCAAACGGAAGGAAAAGTTTCTTTTGTTCCTCTCGTTACTCACAACATATTACACACGATTTTTCATTTTAGTTAGGGTTTTTATTTAAGTTTCACGTTTGTGATTGATTTAGGTTTCTGATTCGAAGTTTGGAATTTAGGTTTCGGATTTAATATTTGGTTTACCAAAGAAGATGGTCGAAGAAGATCGTAAGATTGTGAGGGTGGCGAGAGGAAGAACAAGAGGGGTGGGGGTTGGTATGCATTAAACATTCGTACGTCGATAATTATTTCACAGATAAACGGAAAGATAAAAAAGAGTGGAAAAAAGACTAAAATGCATCTCGCTAACGAATATCATTAAACAAAGTTAATGTGAGGGATGACTTTCAAAAAAAATTATTGTGATTATTTCTGTAGTTTACTTTTTTGAAGTACAAAAATGTGTGTGTATTGACCTATAATACCGAACCTAAATGTATAACCTTTCGATCAATACTAGAATCGAGAATTGAAAATTTGTATTTATTATACGTAAACACATGCAAAAATTACTCATGAGATCGTCCTCTTGCTTTTTTAATGCTCTCATTTCCGTGGTTACTTGACAGTTTGATTTAAGACGGAGTATAATCAATTGTGTTGACCAAAATAATCTATTGGTTATTGTAAATCCAAGGTAAAATCGTGGATTATGAAAGAAGAAAGAAAGCTCTAAACAATTGTTTTTCGACTTGATACAGATACTTCATTTCATTGGGATTTCCCATTAGATCCCTAACGAAACACCTGGATTGTATTTCATTAAGAAAGAGCACCACTTTGTCAAAGCAAATGACGGACATCGCAAATTATTAATATTAAGATTCAAGTAAATTAACCTAAAGATAAAGATTTTTTTTTTTACGCTTTTCATTATAATTTTCATTTTCACCAAAACAGCAAAACCCAACCCAAACAATAGAACTCTAATACTATATACCAAATTTTTTGCTCAAAAACAATAATATTCCCAATCGCAAGGTAACAAACTTGATCATAGACCAAGTAAACGATAATATTATAATCCATTCACCAAACTTAATGTTTCAATGGCATCCCAAATGGATTTTAAAGGGCATGAACTTCTTGGGAAGACCATATTTTGGTTGGGGTAGATTAAATATGTAGATTCATCGTGAAATAAAGCAACCAATTTCAAACAAGATTTCAGATCTGTAATTGATTCATTAATATAGCATCGCTTTATATATATTATTAATTTATAGCATGAAACTACAAAATCCCAATAGCAAAACAGATGAGTTGCATGGAGCCCTATTGACCAAACTCTACCCAAAACCATTTATCGCCAGATCCAGAATCTTACCAATCCAACAAATGGAATGATATGATTCAATCAAGCCCTCTCGCCACGGATCCTTCGAGCAAGTTGAATATCCTTGGGCATAATCGTCACTCTCTTTGCGTGAATCGCACACAAATTTGTGTCCTCAAAAAGCCCAACCAGATAAGCTTCCGCTGCTTCCTGGAGCGCAGCGACAGCGCTACTCTGGAACCGCAGATCAGTCTTGAAATCCTGTGCGATTTCTCTAACCAGTCTCTGGAACGGAAGCTTCCTGATCAAAAGCTCCGTACTCTTCTGGTACTTTCGGATTTCACGAAGCGCCACCGTTCCAGGACGGAATCTGTGGGGCTTCTTCACTCCGCCAGTCGCCGGAGCTGATTTCCTAGCAGCCTTGGTGGCGAGTTGCTTCCTTGGAGCCTTTCCTCCGGTTGACTTGCGAGCAGTTTGCTTTGTACGAGCCATTGCAGGTTAAGATCTAGAAAAGGTAAAATGCACAGAGAGAGATGAGATGGGTGAACTATTTGGTACATAGGAGGAGTATATATATGTGTGTAGGACTGTAGGTTCGCGGGATTATGAAAATTTGGAACTGATTTTAGTCCGTCCAAAATGTGCAGATTATAATCCGTGTGGTGTGATTGCAGCAAATTGAAATATGACACGTGTACATAGCGTGTTCGAGAGTCCTTCCAGGAGGTTCCACGATAAATATTTTTCAATTTAACTCCTCTTAATGTTTCAAAAGCCAAACAGGTCCTCAATCTTTTAACAAATACAAAATCGTACGTTTTTCTGTTTCTATATCATTTCGGTCCGGTTTGATTTGAAGGGATGAAATGGATTTGAGGAGATTTGCATTTCATATCCATTTCAATCTCATGTTTGGTTTGTTGAATTGTCTGAATTTAAAATCCTTGGATTTAATCGAAATCATTCAAATATAGGATTTTGAAGTCCTTAGGAAGTGCTCGGGATTTAATGAGATTTCATAAAATTGTATACAATAAGGTTTTAAAAAATGTTTAAAGGATTTGTTTTATAATAATCGATTAATAAAAATGTAATTCAATTATTTTTAAAAATATTTATAATTTCTTCTTTAAATTATTTTGATATAACAAACCTCATTTATTGCATCCTATTACCCAAATAACTTAATGAACACGTTATGAAATAAACTTGTCACATCATATACATGAGTATATAATTTTTTCGCATCACATGGATGAGACACCCCATTTCCTCGCAACACATAGGTGCGAGGACCACAACTCATCGCACCATACTGATACGATAAACCCAAGTTGTCGCATCACACGGGTGCGATAAATCAACTTTGTCGCATCACAAAGATGCAATAAACTTACTCCTCACATCATATAGGTGCGATAACCACATTTCATTGCGTCAATAGGATGCGACAACTCAAAATTTTCGCATCACACAGATGCGACAACCCTAAGTTATCATATCATAAGGATGCGATAATTATGAACATTTGATCAAAACCCAAATTTTATAACTTAATGATTTCGTCACATTTGTACTGATATACATCTCTTCTTGATATGTCATCCGTATCCTAGTATAACTTTTTCTTGATATGACACCCTAATACACATCTCTTTGATATGTCACACTTATTTCCACACACGATATAAACGTATCAAAAACCCATAATTTTGCCAAATTTTGACATCAAAACAGATTTACAACATCATCTCATATAAGGTACCACACGATTCTATAACCAGATTCCAAATAGGGAAAGTTCATAAAAAATAAATCCACCTTAATCATAAAGAGATGATGATAAGAAGATGAAATAGCAACAATCTCCCACGTAGAAATCACAAATCAATTTAGTTCTCTCCTCCTGTTTGATTTGCACCCATGAAGCACATACAATAAAATTTTCACCCGCTTCAAATATAATTATGAGATATTAAGAATATCTCATATAAAAACCATTTTAAACAATTGATGCGGTGGGGGATTTTAAAAAAAAATGATAATTTAAGCATATACAAAAAAAAAAAAATCCTCAACTTACCAATGTTTTCAAAAAGAACTCCAATCATTATAATCAAATAACCCGGCTATAACGAAATATAAAACAAAAACAAAATCTTAACATGTGAAAACATGAGCGTTGTTAAGAAGAGCATCTAAATTCTCAACCCATTGAACATGACCTGGAAATTGATCCATCTCACAACCCCAAAATCAAAAACAAAATCTGATAACCGATTCTAAAACCCTAAATCAAGAACAAGAAACATATATGATATCGAAACTATCGTCATAAATCATTCAAGAACACCATCATCAGATCAAGAAAACCATCCAACTTCTAGTTTGGTTCTAAAAAACCAAAATCGAATGCCTTTGCTTGGATGGTTGATTTGAAAACCAAAAAAACCCTAGATGGTGGTTTTGAACGAGAGAAGAAACAAAATATGTCGGAGAAAGTGGGGGTTTAATCGGAGGAGAGGAGTGAGGAAAGGGAGTCGTGCACCTTCGACCATCATCTTCGAGAGAAACAGTGCTATCGGGGGTGGGGGATTGTTTCCAGATTTGTAGGTTTGGGAAATAAAAGCCATTAGACGGTTTCCATCATCTTTGACCATTTTTTTTCTTGCTTAGATCTTCATAGCGCCTATAGTTTCCAAATCTGGATGGGGATTCGACAAGGAGGGAGAAGGGGGCAGTTACTGAGTGTCCACGATGTTCGAATTAAAAGAAAAAGAAAAGGCATAAAAAACTAAATTTAATTATATATGTTTTGAAAGAAAATATAAATAGGGGTAAAAAGACAAAAATGCTAATCACGTCAGAGGCACATAACAAGGTTAACAAAGATATTTTAGTGATGTTAGTGTGAGGGACTGGATCGGACCCCGAAACATGTTTTCTGGACCACCGATGTACTTTATGATTTTGAGGGACGAAAACCAAAAATGAGTCATTCACGAGGGACCAAATGTGTAAATCCCTCATTTTTTTATGTGAATGACGAACAAGTAATTTGAGGTGTTCTCTACGATAAAAACTTGATGAAACGAACGCAGAAACTTCACGTCACTCGCTAAATACGAGGAGCATTACCAAACTACTCCCAAAAATAGGGTTAAGTGGAGGAATTTTATGATCACACAATAAATTACGATGTTATGTATTTATAAATAACAGTTGTGTAAAAAAGAAATTAAATGATTATATTTGAATGGTTTGTTATAAAAAGTTATATCAAACTATCAAAAACACAAAGTTAATGGTTTTTACCTATTTTAGTAAATATGGTAAAATATAAGAGTGAGAGCCGAAACTCGGAATTCAAGATAGACGGTTCGTTCGTCGAGGTCGTTCTTAATTGTAAAACAACAACAATCTAATGCTTTCAATTATGTGATCTTGTCTCGTATTTCTTAATTAATTGTAACTTTGTATTTTACTCTATTATATCTTACTTTATTTGTTTCACACATAATTTAAAACACGGTTATAAGGGTTTCAATAGATATTATTTATAACTAAAATCATACAAAGATAATCTCGAAATGCAACAGAAAAGCATATAAGATCAAAGAAAAAATGTACTAGTGTTTTGTTGAACAAACTTACAACAGGTTCAACTTGGATCCAAAAAATATTGAAATCGGTCTCAAAATAGTCTTTTTGGAAGGAAGTCTCAGGCTATGCTTGTACTAATCTCGACTGCAAGAAATCAGTCTTGATAATATTAGTGGCACAATCCTTGTGTATGTTTGAAGTTGAACCCTGGGCCAATGGGATATCACCAGGACCTCAACCACTACGCCACAAATCCATAACCCTTGTGGTTCACTTTTTTGCCCTCTCTTTCAATTGGAACAAAATAGCAAAGATTTCGCAAATGTCCATTGCGTAACGTGTAAAATGTATCTTTTTTTATGAATTAAATATGATACTGATAGGATATGTTTGCGAAACTTGCTTGACAACTGGCGAAATGGTCTACCAGAATCATATTTTAATATAAAGTGCACATTTCACAAGTTGTGAAACCGAAACTTACAAAATATTGGCTACTTTGAGACTAATTAGGAGAAAGTGAAATAGAAAGTGAATAAAACAGTTGTAACACCTAAATTTTTGGTATGTAACATTTCAGGGTTTTTGTATTATATTTCAACCTCAGAACACCACTTATTAAGTGTATTTACCATCTATTAAGTGTATTTTGTGGGTGTTTGTGTTGGTATGAAATTAGCCAAAAGAGATCCAAGAAAAAGATCAAATTAGGACTGAAACGGTAGCTTGTGCGGGTTGGCGCGCAACTTAGGTCGCGGCATTAGCCGCACGACTTTTCTGTTTGTGAAGATCATGATGCGGGCAACCCTTGTGCCGTGATCCTAGGGTCTTAGGGTTTCAGGACAAGGTCGCGGGAAGGCTGCAATGCATAAATCGAGATTTTTAGGCTAGAACTCATAAATTCTCATACCAACTCATTTCTCTTCACATTTATTTCGTCTAGAGAACTTTTGAAGCACCAATATCATTGATTTCAAAGCATCTAATAGCCTTGGAAGCTCGAGTTCAAGTCTTGGAGTAAAAGCTTCAAGATCTCCTTCTTCGTCTTGTTATATTTGACTTGGTTTCTGGGGTTTTTCCCCTAAAAACCTATTTGAGCGTTCATTCTACATTTTAAAGCTTTATCTATGTCTTAAACAACTCTACTATGGATTTCCTCAACGTTTTGAGATTTGGTTGATTCATATGTTATAGTTTGTATGGGATTTTTGGGAAAAGCTTGAATCCTTTTATGAAGTTTTAGACCTAATGAGATTAAAACTCACCTTTGGTGAGGTTTGAACCCTTGACCTCCTAAGAGGCCAATGACTACGATACCGCTAGGCCAAAGGCCCTTTGGTGGTACTTGTTGTATGTTGAAGCATGTATATTGTACAATATGGTTTGTTGCGTTGGATTCATATGCATAGCTCATACACTATCAAGAGACAAGCTTCTTGGTATCATTAATTCCAGAATCTTTGACTTTAGATAATGAGAAGCTTTGATGCTCTATCTTGTAACTTGGGGACCATCTAAGTAAGTAGTTTTGATGTTCTTATCTTAATCATAATAGGAGTAATTACTGGGGATTGTGGGCCTCATGGTGAACCCTCGTCAACGTCATAACATGTCTTATTTTGTGTTCCGCTACTGGATGGAATCGAGTTCCCCCGTTATCGCAAGATAAACCGTTTGTTACATTGTCTTGCCTTAAAAGATATGGTTAGGGGCAATGGTAATTCATTTACAAAGATTGACCCACACCTCAAAGGAGGTGACTCTTTATAAATGTTCTACTCTCTAAACCGTTTATGTGTTGATATATATTGTTTTGATTTACTAGACGTTAAGTCTAACACTTTTTACTACCACCATGTATAATAAGTCGTAGCAATGCGGACCTAAAGGTTGGTGAATTGAGCTTAGAGTGCCATTTGAAGGCACAAGTGGGGATAACATTTTTGGAAGTGACGTCTTACATTTTGAAGGTAGCAGTCTTTGGTGGTTGTAGTAACCCCTGACTTAATTCTATTTCTACTAGAATCGAATAAAAATCAACAGAACTATTGATACTTAGTTTTTGTTATGCGCTATCTTGTAAATATTAATACCCTTTTGGGTAAATACTCAGATGTTGTAATACACGGTTTTCGTAGAGGTTCAAATTTACTATTATTTCCTGAAATTTAGAGGTGTTACAAAGAAGAGGGGCTAACAATCCTTTTCATTTTCCCCGTTTTCCTTTTTCCTTGGCCGATGGTGGCATGGGGAGAGTTGTGTTGTCGTTGTTGTACGAGTGCCTTGTTACCTGGATGAACAAGCCACAAATAAACTATATAGTTATATATGGTACAGCAGACGAAGAATCGTATGAGAAATAAAGTTATGATGAGAATCATTGATCACTTTTAGTCTCATGTCCACCTATGAATTATATTTTAGAAAGGAATTGGTCTGGTGCAGTAAAAATGTTAAGATTCAATTAGAATTGATCCTAAAGTGAAAATCTCTTCTTATGCTTCTCGTTATAAGATTCTCTTTTCACTGGAATACCCTAGTACACTAATATCTATACTATATCATAAAGCATTTGATAGAAACTCTTAAAAACCATTTTTTATGTATGAAGTATTGTTTATTGATACATATTACTTAAAATTTAAGATTACTAGTAAATTATGCGTAAGTACAACTTATTAAAGCTCCATGTTTAAATTCATGTAACTAACTACATTTAAATATAATCAAATACATGATAAATATCTCATTTTAAATATAAAAAAATCTAAAATATAATTAGRATAATCATTGARWTCTAACAKAATWYTTAATTATTATMTTTATTAAAAATTATATTATTAAACCAAAATTAAGTTACTGTGTCACATTAAATTAAATTATAATAAAAAATTGAATTAAAAAATTATACAAAACAAGAACTTTTAAATAGTTAATTTGATACTAATATCGATATTTTTTTTCAAATTTTTATGATATTTTATTTAAAAATAAAAACATTATCGTTTTCTAAAAACTACATAAACCGTATTATATTGACATAGATAAAAATAATAATAAAACATTGAAATCGAAACGTGTCTCGATGCATTACACGAGTATCATTCTAGTTATATTATAAATTATTTGACTAAAACTTTTAAAAACCGTTTTTATGCATAAAGTATTGTTTATTGATGCACATTACTTAAAATTCAAGATTACAAGTAAATTGTACGTAAGTACAACTTATTAAAACTTTATGTTAAATTTATATAACTAACTGCAGATAAACATAATTAAATAAAAGATAAATATCTTATATAAATATAAAATATCTAAAATATAATCAGGATAACCATTGATTTGTAACAAAATACTTAATTATTATATTTATAAAAAATTATATTATTAAACCAAAAATAAAAAAAATTAATCACAAAATACACAAAAAAATAAAAATAAATAGTTAGGTTGATACCAATATCAATATCTTTTTTCAAATTTTTTATGATATATCTTTATATTTATATTTTATTCACAAATAAAAACATTATCGTTTTCTCAAAATCACTTAAAACCGTATTACACATCGACTGAGAAAAATAAAACAAAATATTAAAATCAAAGATGTATCTCACTACATTGTTCTAGTATTTATACATGGCTAACCAATTAAGAGGAGGTTTTGTTTGATTTTCATTAAATACATTCTGAATGATTTACATTAAGCATGTCTTAAATTTGACCCGCAAATACAACCCATCTTTAAAATAAATTTTCAAGTTAACACGTAACAAGATCAAACCACAGTGATGTTGATAACCATAAGCAAGTAAGGTTTGCAGCCAGAATTTTATGAGTAATTGGGCTAGACAAAAACATCGTTCGATATGTGAAGTTTTACATGTGCCATTCCATCGACACACTCGCCAAAATTACAACTAAAAAAGAGCGCAAGAAATACTCGCTTTCTGCTAATAATAGCTTCATCACCCATAATTATTGAAAAAAGAATGAACCCCTCAAAAAAATCCCAACTTAATCCAACATAATAATATCCTCACTCTGCTACTTCCTTCAGTAAAACGTTAGAAATATCTAAAATCAAACTTACTTCGGGTTCTGCTTCTGTTTCTTTGGGTCCAATGCACCTAATCCTGCACCTAAACCCACCGGTGTCTGACCTTGTCGCTCTGGTTTGGCCGGCTCCTCAGGGGTTTGGGCATCGGTTGCCCCATTGGTGTCGTCACCAACACTGTTTTCAGGTGTCATGCCTGAGTTGATTATGTTGAGAAGCTGGGTGAGTGGCGGCAGAGCCTGAACAGGGACGCCGTGTGGTCGTATTAATAGACCCCTGGCGGCAGCTTTCTTCCTTGCCTCTGCAACGGCACGAGCAGCTCTTTCATCCACTCCCCGACCTCGAGGAAAGGTTTCCCCGGCAACCGTGTTGTTACTGTTACTACCTGAAGCTCCCCCAGATGCGGCTTGGAACGCTTGTATCAAGTCAGGGTGAGCCTGTACAAACATCGGTGTTTCAATAGCAGGATCAAGAAACATGATATTCAGTCTCCATAGATAAAAAACCATGACTTTGTAATGAAAGAAAATGACACGAAGACAAATCAATGGATCGGTTTTGCCCAGTTCCGATAGTGCATTTTCGTGCTAGTTTAAAAACGTTAGATATCAGTTGCCCAATGAGGGTGCCTTTAAGTGGCATGGGTAGTTTAGTAATTTATCAATCTTTTCTCCAGATTTTTGTTCCACCTAGTATGGTGGAACCCACTAACATCCTGCCCTGTCTCGGTCTAATGTCATGCCAAATGTGAGACAACAAAGTTTTTGTACTTTTCTATACCCTGTAAGTGCCAAATACCAGACGCACCCTTATGGCTAGATCGGGACAAATGGCATGTTTACTAGACACAAAACCATCAACTAAGCATGCGCCCGAGGGTGGAGTTCGTTACATACCTTCAAGAGATCGATTGCTGCTTGAGCAGAAACAGCATTTACAGCTTGTCCTTTCTGCTTTTGTGCATTCATCTATTGTCATATCATCACAAAGTTATCAACAGAAACATAACTACAATAAAACAGCATAAAATATATGAGGAAACACATTTCTACCTGCGCTTCCCGCACTTTAAAAGTTTTCATCCAGTTCTGTGAGTCACGCGTCCTGGAGTCATCCTCTCCGAGTTGCTTGACGAGTATATCGTACGTCTTCTTTTCATGCTATTGGCAAAGAAATCATTTTTCAGTTGATATAAACACCACTGATGATACAAGAGTATATAACATTTTTGGAGACGTTGTACTTGGTTTTATGTTGCAACGTTTTAAGTTCTATAAAGCAGTCCATTGGGACATTTTTAGCAGCCTGTAAACCCAATTTGTTGTAGCAAGTATCAGAGCCAAGATCTACCACTCTAAGGAATTCACAATTTGTGCCCATCTAGCCTCTTTTGGAAGGGGCCTGTTGGAACCCCACATTAGTTAGACTCGGACCCTTTCTCCTCAATATATATTGGAACCTCCCTTCACTCCTCGAGGGCTCTTTTAGAGAGTAATCTAACGGGGTTCCACATATTTTCACAAAACTATGTGTTCCTTTTTACACTTTTGGGGGAACAACGTGTGTTTGCGACAAAAGGCAAATGTGATGGTCTGAATAGTTAATCACTTGATAATATAACCATTAATGCACAAAAAATAGAACAAAGGTAGCTAAATTTCCATGCCTGATGAGACAGCTTGTAGGCTCCGACACAGTTGAATGCGATTGCAAGTGCATGATAGCACACGGCAGTTTGGATATGTTCCTCTCCCAAAAGCCTCTCGTTTTTTTTCAATGCTTCTTGTAAATAACGAAGAGCCGTGTTCATCTTTCCGATGTCTTGATACATCATTGCAACGTTAATGTAAGTTGCAGCAACATCGGGATGATCAGGGCCGGACGACAAACTTAATAGGAGCAGTGCACGAGACATGTGCCGCAATGCAAGTTCCGACTGGTTGAGTCCATGATAGAACAGGGCCATGTTTCCGTAGCTGTAAAAGATGGTTACACATCATAAATCGATTAAAAAAAATACCACTCTACAATACAACACAAACAGCCACAAACAAAAGTCTATAAAATTTTGCTAATTCAAACTGTGAGTCTCTCAACTTTGTGATCACATGACAAGCACATGCTATTAAAATCAAAATTTGACGTAGCAAATGAGCCCAGTAAATCCCTCCTAAAAAGTAGTACACAGACCTGGGCTCTACCCTAAAAAGTAGAGCGGTTGTTTCCTTGAAGACCCTCCACTAGTGAAAAGTGTGTGGAAGCGGAAAGTTCAGAAATGTTAACATTCAAAAAGCTGGATATGGGGTAAGCAATAGCTATAAAAATTGAAAGAGAGAAAAGCGGATATGCTAAATTTTGATAAACTAGATTTGAGTAATCGGGCTTAAAGCAAATGCAAAAAACAACAAAAAAATGTCAGCACCTGTGAGCTGTGTCAGGGTGGTCGAGACCAAGGCACCGTTCGTTTATAATAAGTTCCTTGTGCTGCTGCATAATGGCTGCAGCCATGTCTCCGGCATGATAAAGAACCATGGCAAGATAACTATAAGCAAAAAAACAACAATGTTAAAAAGTAGATCTTTGGTCACAACTTAACTGAATCATCTAGTAAGATATCAATTAATATCTTCCAAAAAATTGTTAAATTGATCATCTAAAATGGACACCATGATGAAAATTTCGACAAGATTTCTCATATTAAACTTTTAAGTTAAAATCATACCGGCAGCAGTTAGCAACCTCACGATGCATTGGACCTGTGACCTGTATTTCATAATTAAGTATAAAAACGAAGCCACTAAAATGGACATAAAACAACCATTTCGACCACACCCACATGGGCACATGAGACGAAAGACATCAGAAAATATACCTGCTGAAGTATTGTAAAAGCTTCCGTAAATAAAGTGTACGCTTCATTAAGCATCCCCTGCAAGTAGATGACAGCAAATTATCGAGACTGAAAATTGTTTTCAAAGTAAGATAACTTCTCCCTACATTCCAATATAAACGCCCACAACGAAAAAGGCGTTCCTGAACGAGAAAGAACAAAACGAACCTCAGCCAACTGGACCTTTCCCGTTTCCACCAGTTCTTTTGCTTCTGAACAAATGGGTATTGAATGCTTCACTACAGGTTGAAGATTTAATATATCTGACGTTTGGAAAGGTGTTCCTACACTAAGATCGTATTTTTTGGCAGCAATGGTCACCCCCACCTGTTAAAGGCAGTTTAACAGATCAGTTCTATTCTCATAGAAATCAACATGATTATTGTAAATAATTAGTATCAGAAGCTAAAATAGTTGGTAGGTACCTTCAGGCAAAGGTTGCGAATAACTGAAATTTTCTTCACACGTGACCTTGCATCCTCCGGCAATTCAAACTGCAAACGAAGGACAAAGTTAAAACATGAAACAATACGATAACGGGATAAAGGACTAATCTCAAAAAAAATTGATATGGGTTGATCCAAGTTTATATTACCTGGTATTTAGCTTTTGCAAATTCAAGGATATCAGACCACAAACTTTCGGAACTAAGATTCATACAGGTCGCTTGTTTTCTACTAGTAGCATTTCCAGCTTTTGACCTTGAGTGCCCTTTTGACGATTTTCCTGAAGCTTGATTTCCCGAAAGGTCCTGCTACACATTTCGTTACACGTTCCATCAACAAATATAAGAATTTCAACTCCTCTAGGCTAAAGACTTTATTTTTGGTCCCATTTACGTAAGATCACTGAGATGGGCCCACCAAGAGGAAAATAAAGTGAAGATGATTAAAAAAAATAACACGTTATACCACTAAACATGTAACCAGAATTAAACAAAGTGACTATTAACAAACATCTAGTGATCTGAAGACTACAAAATTGAATTTTAAAGGAATAGAAAGGAGTGATTGTCGACCTTCTTCTGATTTTTTGACTGTGTAGTATTAGCAACAGCTTTTCCAGAGACTGCTTGGCAATCTCCAAATAGACAATTGAAAAAATGAGCAACTGCATGCCCAATATCATGATCAGCTGTATCTCTTAAGATATCCTGTATAACCAAAAAAGCATTTACGTCATCGAAGAGCAATAAAATGCAAGCAAAAGCTAGTTTTCAACATCTATCAATCACATTTAAATGCTATCATTGACGGTCAATACTCCCTCCATTCCATGAAAACTGCAAAACTTCCTCCTTGGGGTTCACATGAAAATTTCACCAATTTTGTTTTCGGAACAACTTCCAAATAAAAAGCGACCCAATAACTCATTATGTCAAAACAAATAAATAGATGATATTGATCGGGGAAAGAATCCTTAGTTTTGTCTTTCATTGAAGGGTAATTTGCATCTTTTCGTGGGATGAAGGAAGCATATTAGTTAGTCCGTTGTTGATAACATATTGGCCAGTTCGTTTTTATCTATGTTCAATGTTACTACATCTTGGCCATGGGCCCACTGGTAGAACACAAACAAATTCGGCTTATAAGCGTCGGTTAAGTAACATTATGATAAACAAATTCACCTTAAGGATGTGTTTTGCACATCTAACGACAATCTCGTTGGAACAAAGATCCCATAAATGTGGCAAGTGCTTCGTACCATCAGCTACCTGGGAAATAATATAAAAACTTATATCAATCATCATAAAAAACTAACCACGAAATTTTGATGATTTGCCACTAAAAGGTAATGATATAATCAACTTTTAGATCTTAGTAATTAAGACAATAAGCTAGAAGAAACAAAACGGCTGATCTTACTTTGCCAATATAGCGAACATTAATTCCATGGGCATGCAGTGCTTCGGTCAGTGTCTGGCCATCCATTGGTGACACTTCAAGCGTGCAAAGATCTTGTATAAATTTCGGAAGGACGACATCCTTGAGGTATGAACTGACCTTCCGTACACTTTCTTCATCAGCAGCGATCTCCTGTTACATTCCGGCATGAGAGCATGTTATGGACATAAAGAACCACATTCACGTCACCAAGAAGAAACAGATTACCTCAGGACTCCCAGCCAATTTAAATTCCGTAAATACATTAGGGTTAAACCGTATATCCTCGGATTTATCTTCCATGTCAGCAGACTTAGAACCCAATTCTTCAACAAACATTTTATCATCTTCTGACTCGTTCTGCACGACAAATAGTATATTAAACAAATATTATTGCAAGCAAATTTATCAGTATTGTAACCTAGCATTTCATAAACATAATTCAAACTTCGGAAGCTTTTTAAATCTATTAAAAAAGCATCAACTATTAAGAAATTTATGGGTTACAAACTTTACCCAGCTGAAGTTAGAAACAAGAATCTATGGTGATCATCGAGTAGAATATAACTTTCTTTGTAAATAGAACTACCTTTCTAAAAATCTATAGCAAAAGGACACGCGTTTGGAGAGAAAGAGTGATATAGTTCTATTCATATGGATCGTTTGACATTTCTATTATGTGGGTCCCGTTTATTTGGTGTGCCGTTTCAACACCAAGAAAATCTTGAAAGTGAATCTTAATCCACGAATATGATATCTAGGATGATCTATGAAATATATGACAAATGTGGAGTGTTTAGAGTGTTTCTATTGGTCGGGAATATCAAATAGGCCCAGCTTGGACGTGCAATTACTTTGATCCAACAAAATGTGATCACAGAACCCATTTACTTTACGTGAAGAGAAATGGGACCCACAGAATGATGTGCAGATTAAAGAGGATTTAAGAAAAGAACATCGTCTTATCAGCATGACAAGAAGATCTTACCGGCTTAGTATCAGGAGTTTCAGCAATTTTGGCTGTCTCAGTTTGGTCTACTTGTTCAACGTTATCAGCCTTTGAAGAATCTGTAGATTCAAGTGTTCCCTTTGACTCACTTTTAGATTTTGAACTCTTTGCTGCTTCGGCCTTCTCACATACAGCACATATAAATAACATATTATGAGCAAACAATATTTATAAATAATTTCTACAAAATATACAAATATATACCTGGCAAAAGGCAGTGATCAACTCAGGTCTCAAAATACAAAACTTAGAATTTGCTCCTGTATAATTTGCATCACGAGGAGTGACTCTCATCAGGTCCAGAAGATAGTGCCTAGACATTGTAATTTCACACCATAAATAACTTGAGTCGCCTTATAAATTCAAGCATAATAGAACAGATTAATAAAGCTAGGAAGTTACAAATTTCAGACTAGTGAGTGAACGCATTGCAGCCATTAGAGAGAAAAGAAGCAATGGCCAGCAGCAAAAGACATCAATCAGAGAAAAAGAGATGGAAGAGGACAACCGCCCTAAAACTTTTATCCCAAAACGTTGAGGTTGGCTAACATAAACCGGCTAGAAATGAACTTTTTCTTGTTAAAGGGTTTTTCTACATGTAGTTTGAGTTCAAATTGGTACCATAGAGCACATAAAAACTTCTTATGTTACCCTCCATCCCAAAACAAGTGTCCCCATATCTAATTAATAAGTGCACACTTTCAAAAGTGTCTACTTTCCCATTTTACCCTTATAAGGAGAAAATTTCGCTCTATTACTGGATAGAATGGCCCTTTAGTTAATTAAACAGTGTAATGATTACATATTCCTAAAACTGTGGGCCTTTTTTTCATAATGGACATTTTGTTGGGGACGGGGGAGTATTTAGCTAGAAATTATCTCAGAATAAAAAGAACAATCCTAAGATGATGCTGCTACGAAGGGCGTAAATTACAGATATTAATATGAATATATGTATCAAAATCACCTATCGTCACTTCCAACAATCCCCTTGCATTCAACTGGTGCAGCTATTTGAAAAACATTTCCTGATCCATCAAGAACCGTGTGTTCCTTCACTCGGAGGCGCTTTGAAGCTTCCAATACCTAAAGTTAGATACAGTTTAGCATATTTTGCAGAAAAGCATATGTAAAGAAGTTGTGACACTAGTATTAAGGCAACAATTTAAATGTTTCAGTCAGATGGATTAAAGAAAGTTTTATTGGTCAAATTACGCATCCCAGGTATGTGTATTGTTTAGTTCACAACTTCTATGAAAATCAACAAAAAGGGTTGCGAAAAAAATTCCATTTAACAAAATATGCAACATAAAGAATTCCTTCTCTTGATGATATATTCTTGAATCTTGGGAACAATTTACATGACAATGGGTACTGTATTTTAATTAAAATAACAACACAATTAACAAAAAATGGATGTCCCTTGAAGTATGTCAAGAGCCAAATCTCACTACTCTGTTTCTGTAGCAAAAAAAGAGGATGTACTAATTGTTTCTTGACTTTATCCGTAAAAGCAATTAGCAAGTCTATTGACTTCTTATACGGTGAATATATATGATATATCCCATAAAAGCTGCAAAAAGCCCATAAAACAAAGAGACAAGGGGCAAAAATGGAAAAAAAGATCAATTTTAATTATTGCTGACCTTGGCATGAAAATCTTGATTCCAGCAAATCTTCTTGCCATTGTCAACAGACCCATATAGCAATGAATCTGATTTATCACCTTGCAAAATTCCCGGTAGAACGCTCTGTGGGAGAAAATAAGAAACAAGCACGTTTTAATGTTAGCAGAAACCCGTTCATTAAAGTACAAAAGCAAAAGAAGGAACGTCCCACAAATACACTTCATACATTACAATGGTCACGATGATAATATCAAATTCTGATCGTCTAGTATATTAACACTGACGGAAAACATGCATACCTGAGCTACCACCCTATGACCTCTGTAGTCAACAATGGCCATGGCAAGATTATACAATCCAGAAACATCAGCTTCTTGATATGCTTTGGTGCCTTTAAGATCGTTGTTCGAAGATGCATATGTAGCTTGTTCACTCTCAGCCAATTGTGCCTCAGATGGTGCATCAGAAGCCGATTCCACAACACCGTTAAGATTATGATTCTCTGTAGTCGAGATACTAGACTTCTCCCCATTAACCTTGGCCGCTCCACTCGATGATTTCACCGAGGTCTTCTCAGACGAAGTATTTGCATTCTCGGTCTTCAAGTTCGAATCTGACAACTGCTTCCTGGACAGCTGCTCAAGATCCGCATCAACAGCAAAACTGAAGAATATGTTGTTGTGAACATACCTAAATACCAGAAACAAAATTGTTATCATACGATGCACATTAAATGGTTATGTGAACGATAACCATATTTGGAACATATTTCGAGCATCATTAGTTTCCACTGACATAAAGAAATTTGGCAATAGTTTCACCTTTTGTTATCCTACTTACATGTGAAAGCATTCCGGATCGGTTGGATTAATTGGTGGGATGCATCTGCTGATGACTCCAATAGCACCACTTATTGCAGCATCAACGAAATCAGAAGATACCTTATAGAGAGCTCTATCTCTCAGAATCCTATAAACAACAACGTCAGCATAAAAAACCGAGACAAATCCAAGCCAAAAAAACATTGCACATATACACTTAAATGAGAAATTAATTTGTGAAATAAAATAACAATAAAGAAGAGACTATTACACCTTTCTTGAGGGCTTGCATGAGGAAACTCTCTACAAGATTGTAGTTCCTCATTCCAGTCTCTTTGCATACCGATTAACTCACTCCCAAAGGACAAAGTAAGTGAATTTTCTGCTCTAGCTGCATCGCGTCTGTGATCTACATGAAGCGAGCAAAAGAAAAATGGTAAAGATTGCAAGAAAAACAAAGAATCGAACTCATCGGTAAAAAGTTTTGCAAAAAGCCAAAGATGAGTTACCAAGTATCAAATTACTCGCAACTTCTTCAACAAAGATATCACAACCGTAGAAATATTTGGTGTCACATGCTCAAATAAGCAATATAAAATTCAAATGATCTGATTATACTAGTGGGTAACCAAGTTGAAAGCTATGGAACCGAAAGCACAGAAACGAAGTAGAGACTTTTATTTTTGGACTTAAGAATACAATCACAAATATCCCCAGCAGTTTACGTAGTTGAAGAAGGAATGAAACAAGTTTCCTTAGGTACAAAACAGCTATAAATAACAGAGGAAAAATATAAAAATTACCAGGAACAGGGTGCAATCCAAGCCACGAATTTGGAGGCAACAAAGACTGGATGTTTTCAAAAGGATGAGCAGAAGCCTTTCGTTCCAACATTTCACGAAAAGCTACAATATCAGAGGAAAAAAACTCACAACAAAGCAGAGGAGATGATATGATAAGTTGTTTCTGATATGAAAGAGAAGATAGATAGAACATTCTTATTCACCTTTCTTGAATTTGGAACTAATCTTCTGCAAGAGTCCAATAAGAGTAGTTGCTTCAGAAGCAGCTTTAGTTGGTCGTGGGTCAAGGGTATTGCCAGAACTCGAGTTAACATAAAACGTGGTTGTAGTTCCAGTTATACAAAACTTGCTGCCTTCCAGAGTGATCACATCCAGATAAATTAGGTCCCCAACAAGCCTGAATGTAAAATATCATGTGTTTAAAACATAGACCATTAAGAAATAAAATAAAAAAGAGTAACTTCACCATATTCCTTCATAAAGAACATCGGAAACAAACCTTCTGTAGCTCGGAGGAGGGTTAAATGACGAGAACACGATACTTTCTACGCATTTGATCTCTTTGGAGGGAGATGACAACAAATTTGAAAGTGACCCGGATACGTCCTCCATGAAACCCAAATTCTCAAGCTCTAAAACTTCGGTTTTGGCGGGATCTATTTTGATTGTGTAGCACTTTAGATAATCAGTTGGATATCTACTTCAAGAAATGAATCAAGAAAAGACAAGTTTTCTGGCCAACAAACCTCCTGAATTCGCGGTTGCATTCTGCCCCAGCTCATGTTGCAAAGCAAGTGATGTTGATAATGAGGAATGCAATGTTGAAAGAGAAAGCAACTCTCTGGTACGATGAACATGAGCCCTGATAGATCTATCATCATAAAGGGCTGCAAAATTTTCATTTACCAAGTCAGAACGAATAAAGAACGCTCATCGCATTAATCGCGAAGACATCTAAAGCAAAAGGCTGTAATATACCTGCAATCATCTCTAAGGAGCAGTCTCCAGCAGTAATGTCAGCAACTTCAGAAATTTCATGGTAATCCTCCAAATGATGAGTCGACCCATCCTTAGTGTGCAATAATAAGTCATAGCAAGTAAAGAAACACGTTTCAGGAGCATCAAGCAGGAATTGTCTCACGTCCATAACAGAATCACTGGGACTCAACTGCAAATTTGATCAATGGTAATCATTCAAAACTAGCAACGCTGAACTAAGAACAACAAGCTAATGCTATTACTAAGAAATCCTGGAAATAAATCACAGTTAAAGATAGCATACTTGTAACTCAAGCTTTTCACCAACTTGTGTTTTGACTTGAACAGGGAAGAGATGAATGTCACCTGCACCAGAAAACAAAATCCACACTAGGGTAAGTGAAACCATATGATTCAAAACATTGCAAAGTTGATTTAAATTATAGAAAGAAGTATATAGCATCAACTAAGTCAAGCCATGTATATCGACAACTGAGCAGCCACTTGAATCGCAATGGAGCCAAACCCGACAAAAAAATCTAAATAATGACCAAAAAAATAGAAGAACAAAACAACTATGAGTGACGTTGCACAAAATGAAGAAACCCGTCAATATGACATATGCTAAATCAAATTTAATGCCTTCTTTTTGCAATATATGCAGCTTCTTGTTCGTTATTATTTTTACCAATCTTTCTATTTAGAAGTCGCTTTTCTATCTGTCATTTAATTAAACAAGAAGCATGTGAACATATATGAGGTGCGTAAACAAGAGAATCTTACAATTGGTTCATCATGATCACGGTTGAAGATATATCATGATTAATGCAACTGATTGGCCCTAATTTCGACAATGCAATTAAGGGTAGCAAATATAATAGAAGACTCGATTACGTCTAACATCAAATCTTCATATGTGCAACTAAAAGATAATGGAAAAGCTCTTCTATCAACTCTAAGAATAATTAACAGTAAAGCCTCCTGGTTAAAAGCACAATTGCTAAAGAAGTTTCACCTTGCTTAGCCTGATTCTCCGAACTGGCATTCTCTGACTCCTTGACATCTGGCTTGGTGGCAGGTATCTCAGTCGAATCTGGGACTCCATTAGTATCCACCTTCGTTTCTTCAACAGAATTCAAGCTATCTTTAGCATGACCATTGGATGAGACCGCCTGTTCGCTAGCATTCGTGGTGTTATGTGACCCTTTCTTATTCCGCCCTCTGCTTGATTTCCCAGCCATATCTACTTCCCAATCACCTAAAATCCAAATAAATAAAAATCACCCATACACCAAATTAGCAGTATAAACAGAAGAAAAGAAAAACGAAGAATAGTTGTTCTTATCGTGCACCCATCAACATAAACCCATACTATCAGAAGAATCAAAATGAAAACTCATTTTCATAAACACCCACCAATCTACGAATTCATTACTCGTTTAAACAATGAAGTGGAGCACATAACTCGGCAAACAAACAACAAAAGACGAAAATCTAAAGAAGATAATACCCAAAAATCGACATATACAATAGGCATACATGTATATACAAACAACCATAGACATAAAAACGATTCAGCTACAAAACCCAATAAATTTTAAGCAAAACCCTCGAGAAGAAATGTTGATACGAACGTAAGAATCGAAGTAAGAGATGGTATAAAAGAAAAACCAACCTGTATTTGTATATCACCGATTGAAATCGGCGGATAAAATACAGGGAATTAAGAGGAAAAGTGGGTAATTGAGAAGAGAAAATGGAGGGATGGAGGCTGTGGCGGCCGAGAGAGAGAAGGAAAGGAAGAGCGAGCGTGTGGGTACTGAAAGAAAGGAAGAAGAGGGGTTAGCGTCTAGAGAGAGAGAGAGTGTGTAGTATGGATTTTGGTTTCAATGGGTCAAATAATCTTTCGCCTCAATTCCTCCACTTTTAGGTCATACCCACAAGCTCTCATTTCATTTACGAGTTTTTCCATAAATGTTTTGTTTTTATTTACAATTTATAATAAGGTTTATTAACAATTTGTGTACTTACTATTATCAAGTCTTTAAGTCAAATCTTTTTCTTAAATATATAAACTACTAGTTGTGTGCTTGTGCAGCTGTAAATTTTAACGATTTTGAAGTTTCATTGGTTTTATTAGAGAAGATTTAACGATAATATAAGTTACATTAGGTTTTTACATATTAATACAATTTTAATAAATAAGAGTTATAGTTAATTGTATGACAGATTAAAATTCAACATATTTAAACGACTCCACAAATGTATTCGATTTACACAAAGAGAAAAAAATCAAGAGATCGAAAGCAAAACCGAGAGTTCTAGAGCAATTGAATGGAAGAACTTTTAAAATTCAACATATAATTATTTATATGTTCATTGTTATCATCGTATAATAACAATGTTGTGATCTTTAATAACCGATTGATAAAAGAAATACACGAACATTTATAATTTTGATGAGATGATGAGGGAAGGGTTTTTTTTTTCTTGACGGCTTTTAAAATCACCATATTGTCACTGTTAAATTTTATAGGTTTTTGATTTGTGAAGTTTTGACGTAACACAAAAATAGATATTAAGAGGAGTCGAAACGAATCAAGCGATTGATGATGAATCATGGATCTTGATTCTCTTGCCGGTTTGGTTTGTGGACCTTATGAAACAAGATTGTTCCATAGTTTCTATTCTGTTATCTAATCCCATATCGGTACCCATTTGTCCTTTTCATTTTCTTTGTCATCGTTGTCGAAACCTTGAGAGATAAACTATTCATTTGTTGTCTCTAATCAACAAAATCCGATATTCACAGACTTAACGGAGTAAATTAAAATAATTGTCCTAAAATCAAAATACAATATTTTTCCTTTAATTTACAATTTTTTTTACATTCTTGTAGTTTATTTTCTGCAATTTACTTTTCCGCATCAGTTATTTATTTTCCAGTCGTTACATCATATGCAAAAAGAAACCGAGTAATGATGGGCTAAATGTCTTAGCTTGGGGTGTAAGGAAAAAGTAAAATCAAAGCCGATGTGAAAGTACAATGGTGTCTTATTAACATTATTGTGTAACTATTTGTTTCAGGTGATTAATAATTCATTGAAAATTACATTGAATTAATTGACAACTAATTTTACGTATGAAAATGCATTAACTTTCAGAGTTAAGATAAGTAAAAAAAAAAACCCTGATATTTTATTAGTTGCTAATCAAATCACCCAATTTTAGATAAAACAAATCCAACGAATTTGCCATCCGAAATTAGTTTTTAAAGACCGCACTTTTGAAAAACTTTACAAACTTTCTCCATGAGAACGATATCTGATACTTATACCATTATTACTTGTTACAATAATATAATAGTTCAAGGTGTATACTTACACTGAGTTTTTTTGTATGTTGAATATTAAAGTTACATAAACCAAACAAATCAGTTAAACAGATAAAAATATATATTGTATTATATTATATGATAAGGGTTTTAGTTTGATAAAAGTCCATTGCATTAAATATTATGCATTTGGGGTGTTTTCTTAATCATATATACTTTAAACCCATCTAAATCTCACTTGTATATATTTAATTCAATAACAACTCTTCGTAGCTTTTTAGCATCAATTCAATTTTAAAGTCAATTCATGGGTCAACTTAATTGAAGGGGTCATTTTAATTTATTTATTTGTAAAATATTCATCATTATTTTTTAATTGGTTTTATGCAGAAAACAAGATAAAAGAATGGTTAAATATTATTAAATACGAAACTCGAACAAATATGTTGTGAACTGAATATTACTAATAAAGTAGTTGCATGGATGGAGCCAGAAAATTAATATAGAAGGGGGTAAATAAATGAAAGGGAATCGGTGTTTTTGTAGTTGGCAAGATTTTTAAAAAAAAATCTGTTAGATGTTTATCCATTTTTAATAGCTATTTGGACAAAAAGTTGATTACCGGTAACCCAACTGGCCCAAACAGAATTCATATCACAAGCACATCAATGTGATGGGGCATTTTTTTTGCTCACTCACAGGGCGAGTCTGGCACAGGAGCTCAAGATTGAACCTGGACATGTGTTGTATTTGGGCAAACTCGTGTTGTCCATTTATTAATTGAGTTATACGTCGAAAGTTGATCCACACTTAATAGACAAATTAAAATTTTACATTATTTATAAATATATCAAAAAGGTATTCGCACAATACAACGAGATACATCTCGATTTTAGTGTCGTTTTGTTTTGTCTCCGTCGATATTATAATAAGATTTTATGTAGCACTGAAAAAAAACGATAATGTTTTTATTTTTTTTGAATAAAATATAAATTTAAAGGTATCATAAATTTTTTTTTAAAAATGTATCGATTTTAGTATCAAATTAATTTTTTTTTGTGTATAATTTCTGTAATTCAGTTTTTTTATTATAATTAAAGTTAGATTTAATAATGAAGTCATTTGTTTTTTGTTTAATAATATTTTTTTATAAAAATAATAGTTAGTATTTTGTTAGAATTCAACGATTATCCTAAATATATTTTAGATTTTTTATATTTAAAATGAGATATCTATCAAGTATTTGATCATTTTTAAATATATGCTAGTTACACGACTTCAAACATAAAACTTTAATAAGTTGCACATTGAATTTTAAGTAATGTGCATCAATAAACAATACTTAATACATAAAAATTCAAATACAAAGTATTAAATTAAATTAGTTAACTAAAGCTTAGATAATTAGTTTTTTTATAAACTTTTGTCATTTGCTTAAAGAAACAAAATACAAAAAACTTGTTCTTTTATTTATTATTAAAATGCATCAAAAGAGTGAGAGCTTGGGGGTTTTATTTGTGTTTCCTAATAGTAATTATTATTATTATTTTAATCCCCTAATTTTGGAATTTTTATATGTGTTTCCTAATAATAATAATAATTATTTTATGTTATAAATAAATTGACTCACTATTGTTGGGTTGGGGTATAGATGGCCAAAAATGGCTCTGGGCCAGGGCCCAAATCAATCTTGATCCAAAAATGCTTATCGTAACTGGTCCAATCTTGGTCAAAAAGGTGTGACCCGGTTAACGTTCATCGTAATCGGTAATAGGAACCGATCCCGGTCGAACCCAAACCAGTCCTAAGTATTTTTCTTAAATCGAATGTAAATATGTTTTTATGCTTTGTAATTTGTTTTCAATCAAATACATTTACAAATACATCACTGTAAATATGTGATCATAGAAAAGAGTTCCTCCATTTTGAAACTTAAGAAGAGCCTCAACGTCATCAATATCGGATGCATCATCTTCAAAAATTGTGAGTAAATGCCATTGGTATGAGTAGTTTGGCTTGATAGGTTCATGGCATGTTCATTTTCTTCTAAAATTTAAGCCCTATCTCTAGTGATGTCGTGTGTTGAGTTCTTTCATTGTTATCTAAATAATCCTTCAAGCATACACAACACTCCATGGACTCCGAGCTTAGTCGTGTCTACCGCATTGAAATGATCTTGCCAATAAAAGAAAAAACGAACTCTGGAGCTACGGTACTAGCTTGGTTCGTTGGTATATCACGAGCCATGTGTGCCAAAACCGGAAATTGAGGTTGCTTTTATTTCCACCATTATAATAAACCAATATTTTCAAAATCTTCGGCATTCAGAAAAGGAAATAAAATTAGTACGAATTTACATATTTAGTTCACCCAAATCCGTATCGAATTCTCAAAGCTTTGGAAACAACATCTTCGCAATATTTCCTATACATGGAGTGCATTTTTTACCTTTGTAAAAATTTGCTTTAACATAAGTCTAAATTATTTAGTACGAGTTTACAAATATTTAAACTGTCTTGAACGACTAAATTGATTATGTGTACACAATAATGTGTATGAAGTAATTGACCGTCTGAAATAGAGGTCTATTAGGATTCAAGCGCAACTTATTTGCTTATAGTTTAGCAATCAGCGCCACATTTAAATCTAGGAGATGTTGGTCAATGACCCAACAACCCCCCCCCCCCCCCCCCCGGGGATCTGCTAGCATTATTATGCACTTCATGGGATTCGAACCTGTGACCTGCTCTGATACCACATGTTATGATCCAAGCGCTTACCACTATGCCAAAAACAATCGCTGATGGAGAAGGCGCAACTTATTTTGTTATAGCGTAACAGTCAGCGCCACATTTCGATTTAGGAAGATGCTGGTCAATTACCCAACTTTAATTTCTCCACACGTCGAGTATTAGTACCAGCGTTATCAAATGAAATACTAATAACTTTAAATATAAATTATAAGATGTAACACTTCTTTTAATAATTTGAAATAAACGATCACCCGAATGTGGCGCACCAAAAGGTTCAAATGTGATTACACGTTTTACTAATTGTCACAATTGTGGCTCAATCCAATGACATGTTATGCACATATAAGAATGTGGCAAACTGTGTGGCGCACTTCATAAGTCACAGACAAAAAAAAATTAAGCAAAAAAGAAAACATTTGTCGCGTTTCATTTTGACACGTTTTCCATAGTTTAATTGCAACACGTCTAAGAGTTTGTCGACTTACCGCATTGTAGTGTGGTTGTAGCGTTTTTTTATTTGGATGAGGTTGGTAATATGAATGTTGTCAAAATGTCTGAACGACAATCGGACTCGCATGACACATTTTGTTGTCATTTGACGGTTCAAATCTGTGATAACCTGTCTTTCAGTTAGAAAGTTTGGGTTGTTTTTAATTAAAACATTGGTTAATATGCTTAATATTTTTTAAAAAGAAATTCCACCGCCTCTTAATTTTATTACATGATAATATGAGATAAGTACGATATCTCATGGGAATGATAAAAGAAAGGAGAGAAAATTGGGAAACGGTTTCTATGTGTGTGTTCTGGAGTCCGAAGGAAACATAAGCAAAAAGAGAAATAAGAAGAGGGTTGATTTTGTGTTATTGCCTGTTGTCATTCATCTTCATATATTTATCTACGTGAATTACATAAAGTGAGTTATTTACAAACTTTCCTTATTTGGTATTTGAAATTAGAACCGTATGGTTCTTATATGAGAATGATTATAAAACTGTTTTTGTATGCTACAATTGGCATGATTGTAGGATTTTGATATGTTACATCTTGTGAATGGAATAAGGGTGACATATTAAGCAGAGATGTATTTTTTGTTATAAGGGTGACAAATCAATGAGAGGTGTATATTGAGATAAGGATAACATATCAAGGAGATGTGCATACCAGGATAATGGTGACATAATCATTGAGATATCAATAGCATTTACGTGCCTCTTTTTAAAAAAAATTACAACAAAAGTTTCATTCTTTTGAAGTTTGAGACGTAAATAATACCAAGTTTTCATATTCATGCTTGTTTCATGCTCTTTAAGTCAAGTGCTAAGGTGACCGATCTCTAAACCCATCCTTTGTTAATTGACCATTTACGTGCCTCTTTTTAAAAAAAATTACAACAAAAGAAAAATATTTTATCGAGCTCTAGGGAATACACAAGCCAATCCCTATAACATTTTTCTCCATTTGATAAAATTCTAGTATATGATGTTGCAGAAAATCGTTTACAATATATATATATATATATATATATATATATATATATATCTTTAGAACCTTTTTTAATAGATTAATCTCTTTTAGGACCTTTTACAACCAACATATCAATCACTTTAGAACTCAAAGAATCACAATTTATTGGATCAAATATATCAAAACTAATAAAGGTATCGTCAATATCAATAGCATCAGTAGCATCATCATCAACATTAATATCGACATTTTCATCCAAACTAACACTAGCATCAACATCAATAGAATTATCAAGTGAAACTTAAGATTTTTTAGTGAAAATTTTATCAATAGCTCTCTTTTGTTCTTTTTTTTTCTTTTTACGTTTTTGACATCCAAAATCATGTTTTCTAACTCTAAAAGACATGATGGCAAACTACTTAAACAAATTGATGATTAGCAAACAGGTTACTAATTCATATCAGAAATAAACCCAAGATAACACATTTAACAATTTAGGAAACATATAAGAAACTCAGAAATCAGAATCTTGAATAAGATGGATCACAAAGATTGAAATACAACACCTAGATTTGAGTATGTGAGGCCGCTTTCGAGGTCTGATTGCCCAAGTCAAGCAGCATAAACTCTCTGTGTCTCTATGGTTGTGACTTGTGAGATATCCCAGTCCAACCCTAAACTCGTCTGGAATACAAATGTAAAAAAAAAAAAGCAAAGTAAATTGGGATGTAGAAGAATAGAAATTGCAGGTGAATGGTAGAATGATTTCATATTTGGACGTGATTTACTGATTTTATAGTTGATTTTCGGGGCTGTTGTTGATGTTGTAATCGCCATTATTGGTGAAAAAGTGAAGAAGGCGAGAGGGATTTCAGAACCTAATCAACGAAAGTGTTGTTTGACAGTTGCTGAATGGTTTGGTGTATAATAATTAAGTGGTCAGAATGATTAAAAGGCATTCATGAATCATGATATAGTGTAAAATGGAATGTAAATTTTGCTAATTATTTACAATGAAATTAGGGAGTTGAATGGTTAAGGGAGACCCATGATACAAAATCATTCAGAGAGTTTTACAATCATTAAGAGACAGACTTTTTTTATGTCAAACAAGATTCAGCTCTTAACGATTCAAATGCAGTCTCTTAATGAAACTATTAATATGTAAACAAACAACCCTTTAGACAAGTCTTACAACATCGATTAGAGGATTATGAAAAAGTCTAATGATGACATCATGTATTTAAGTGTGAGAGTTTGTAATAAAAGGTAGATTTATGAACTCGTTATAAATTCAAAATTGTAGTCTACCAATAACTTTCACGATAATTGATGTTAAATTATAAGTTGTTTCAACAACATTTTTTGTGGTAAAATGTTACACATTCAAGCGGAGACAACACGATGCGATAAATGGCACCCACCACCAGCCTCTTGCTTCAAATGTAATTGCGATGCGGCAATTTTTTAGAAAAAGGGCATAACGAGAGCCGACATGGTGTTGAGTGAGGAGGAAAGAGGAGTAATTACATAAAAGACAGCTCCGTTTTTCTTCTATAGCATAACGAATCAATTGATTTAATGTAGGCATTGCTATGATGAGGATGCCCGAGTCAAAAGGAGTGTGAAGAGTCAGCCATGCTGACATGAATCATGGTTGTGGGGCATGAGAATGTCATCTTTGAAACCGACTCCCAAGCTGTTCTAAACGCTTTGACGCAACATGAGCGAGAAGATACCTAGTTTAGTAGCATCATTCAGATATGCAGTTTGATCCTAGAGTCCAAAGTGTTCTTTTAGATTTCAGTTTACTAGGAAAAACAGAAATGTCGTACTTTAATTGCATTTTAGAAGAAAATTAATCTATTGAACCTAAACTCTTGATTATTTTTAATCTCATGTTCACCCATGAATCGTACTTTAGAAGGGAATTGATCTATTGAACCTTGATGCACCTCATCAATGTTGACATTCAATTATAATTGATCCAATGGTAAAGCTCTATTTTAACGCTTCTCACCGTAACTCTCATCCTCATCAAAACTACGGTGCTCAAAAACTCGACCAACCCGATCAAGCCAATGAGAAATAACTCAACCGAAGCAACCCAATGTCTAATCGAGTTGTAAAATTGTCAAACCGTAGGTATTGGTTTGATATTGGGTTACTATTATTTGAACTCAACCTAACCTGATGAACCCGATATCATTTTATTACTTGGATTTAATATGATTATCGAATTTATATTAACATATACATTAGACAATTACACTATCATGTATGCTCTTCATATACACATGTTTTCAATTTATTCGCATCTCTATATAACTCATTCGTATATATGTTCAGTAACTGTGAACATATATATGTAAATTGAAAAAATTAACTGAATGTGATATACGTAAGAAGTATGAATAAGTTGTATCAAATAGTTAATAATGAAAAAAAAATTATAAGTAGAGAAATAACATATTTAAGGTTAGAAGAATATTTTAATATACCAAAGTATCAATCCAACCAACCCGGATTGGGTTTGGGTTAAGATTTTTCAAACCACAAACATTGAATTGGGTTGTTCAAATGTCTTCAACCCTATCAACTCAACTCATAAACACCCTAATCGAGACACAACTCTAAACTTTATATATTAATTATGTTTAAAGATGTTCATTCATGTTGTCACATTACTAAGTTCATTTCTCCTCCACCAAGAATGGAATAGAATGCCATCACATCAATCCACGTGCAACATCTCTCCCATGTATAATGTATTTCTAACTTTACAAACATGTCATTTTATTATTATTAACGATTTTGTTCAATTAAATATAATCAATTTATTAATTAACATTTAATTCGTTAACCAATAATTAATTTTTCAGTTACCAACTAACTTAAAAGCTTAATTCATTATCAGCATACTTCGATTAAAAAAAGACAAGATTGCCCAATGAGAGAAGGAAAAAAAATGCAACCAACAGGATTCTTCCGCTTTACAAAAGATGGACAAAATAGTCTTTTTCTTTTCCGTGTCTAGTAATAAAGTTGATATGCCATAATTACCTCCATCTCCCTCTTTCCCAACCAGTTTCCACGTTCTTTGTTCGACAGAACCAGAACCCCCATTGCGAGATTGCTTGCGACTCCGGTGGCTTCTCCGATCAGCAAAGAATGAAGAGAATACAAACCATGATGCTGATCGTACAAGTCATTGATGCACATGACCTCAAGCCTAAAGATGGCGAAGGATCCGCCAGTCCATTTGTAGAAGTCGATTTCCAAAACCAACTTAGTAAAACCACAACTGTCCCCAAAAACCTCAACCCCGTTTGGAACCAACGACTCTCGTTTCACTTTGACAAAACCTACGAAAACAACCGCCATCAATCCATCGAGATCACGGTTTACCATGACGGCAAGTCGACGCTCGGAAGAATCTTTCTTGGAAGGGTGAGCATTCCGTTTAAGAACGTTGTCAAGAAAGGCGAAGAAGTGTACCAGAAGTTCCAACTTGAAAGCAAGCGGTGGTTCTCGTTCGTTAAAGGTGAAGTTGGTTTAAAGCTCTACATTTCGCCAGAATCCGAGCCGTTGAAGAAGCTTGAAGCTCGTGATTCAGTTCCGAGGATCGAAGCTTCGAAATCTGCCACTAACGAGGAGATTGAGGTGCTATCGGAGGCAAAAAGAGCTTCCAAGCCGTTCAAAAAGATTGAAACTAGTGCTGTCGTTGCTCCTTTGCCACCTGATTCAGTTCCGGTGATTGAAGTGCGTTCAGAGACGAAAAGAGCTTCCAAGCCGTTGAAAAAGATTGAAGCGTGTACAGTCATTGCTCCTTTGCCGCCTGATTCGGCTCCGGTGATTGAAGTGCGATCAGAGGCGAAAACACGTGAATCTTTGCTGGTTAAGATGCAACCTCGGGGTAACCTTGAAGCAGATCACGACTACGAGTTGAAGGACATGAACCCACAACTTGGCGGCAGAAGGTGGCGGGGTGGCGGAACCTATGGTGGAAGGGGGTGGCTGGGAGGGGAGAGATCTGGAACCACGTATGATCTTGTTGAACAAACATATCATCTTTACGTTAGGGTCGTTAAGGCAAAAGATCTCGCTAGCGGTGACCCTTATGCCGAGGTCAGACTAGGGAATTATGTCGGAAGAACGAGGCATTTAGAGCATCGGGCAAACCCCGAATGGAACCAGGTGTTTGCATTTTCGAAAGATCGTATCCAATCATCGACTTTGGAAGTTTATGTGAAAGATAAGGAGATGTTCGGGAGAGCCGATTACTTAGGGAGAGTGGTTTTCGATCTGAACGAGATTCCAACAAGGGTCCCACCAGATAGCCCGTTGGCTCCCCAGTGGCACAGAATGGAGAGGGGTAGAGGTGAACTCATGGTTGCCGTTTGGATGGGAACACAAGCCGATGAAGCTTTTCCGGAGGCGTGGCACTCAGATGCTTCCACCGTTCAAGGAGAAGGCGTTTTCAATGTTCGATCAAAGGTTTACGTTTCTCCAAAACTTTGGTATCTCCGAGTGAACATAATCGAAGCTCAAGATTTGATCTTGAATGACAACACCCATGTTCCGGAAGTCTCTGTGAAGGTACAAGTGGGAAACCAAGTTCTAAGAACAAAGATTTGTTCGGGGAGGGCGATGAATCCGATATGGGATGAAGATTTGGTGTTTGTTGCCGCCGAGCCTTTTGAAGAATTGTTGGTGCTTACAATAGAGGACCGGGTGAACTCTTCAAGAGACGAGGTTTTGGGGACGTTGAATCTACCATTGACTACGTTCGAAAAACGGCTCGACCACAGGCCGGTTCATTCTCGTTGGTTTAATGTGGAGAAGTACGGGTTCAATGGTTTAGAAGGTGAGAGAAGGAGAGAACTTAAGTTTTCTAGTAGGGTGCACCTCCGGGCTTGCTTAGAAGGCGGGTACCATGTTCTTGATGAATCAACATTGTATATAAGTGATCAACGACCCACGGCTAAACAGTTATGGAAACCGCCGTGTGGGATCTTGGAAGTCGGGATTTTGGGTGCACAAGGGCTGCTTCCGATGAAGATCAAAGATGGGAGAGGGTCTACAGACGCTTACTGTGTGGCAAAATATGGACAGAAATGGGTTCGGACAAGAACGATTCTGGATACCCTCAAGCCAAAATGGAACGAGCAGTACACATGGGAAGTTTACGATCCCTGCACAGTCATCACAATGGGGGTTTTCGACAATTGCCACTTGGGAACTGAGAAGCACGGTGCTGGCCCCAGTACGGTAAGAGATTCAAGAATCGGGAAGATAAGGATCCGGTTATCGACTCTTGAAGCTAATCGAACTTACACACATTCTTACCCACTGATTGTACTCCAACCCTCTGGGGTGAAAAAGATGGGTGAGCTGAACCTAGCAGTTCGATTCACCACCCTATCCATGGCTAACATGGTTTCAACCTACGGTAACCCTCTGCTGCCTAAAATGCATTACTTGCATCCTTTCACAGTAAACCAGATTGAAAACTTAAGATATCAAGCGATGAATATAGTGTCAGCACGGCTTGGTCGAGCTGAACCGCCTCTTAGGAAGGAGGTGGTTGAGTACATGCTAGACGTGGATTCTCACATGTGGAGTATGAGGAGAAGCAAAGCAAACTTTTTCCGGTTAATGTCTCTGCTTTCAGGGTTGTTCTCCATTGGCCGGTGGCTGAATGATGTCTGCCACTGGAAAAATCCGGTGACATCCGTATTGGTTCACATCCTGTTTCTGATTCTAGTGTGGTATCCAGAGCTCATCCTACCCACTATCTGTCTCTACATGTTCTTGATTGGACTATGGAACTACAGGTCCCGGGCTAAACACCCGCCTCATATGGACCCAAAACTATCATGGGCTGAGGCGGTGCACCCTGACGAACTCGATGAAGAGTTTGACACTTTCCCGACAACTAGAACGGCTGACATCGTTCGTATGCGGTACGACAGGATCCGGAGTGTGGCAGGGAGGATTCAAACAGTAGTGGGGGATGTAGCTACACAAGGAGAGAGATTTGGAATGTTACTTACCTGGAGAGACCCTCGAGCAACAAGCCTGTTCGTCTTTTTCAGCCTCTGTGCAGCAGTGGTCCTGTATGCAACTCCGTTTAGAGTGGTGGCACTCGTTGGCGGATTGTATATGTTTCGACATCCCCAGCTACGAAGCAAATTGCCTTCAGTTCCAAACAATTTCTTTAGGAGATTACCTGCTCAAACAGATAGTTTACTCTAACAAGTGTACCAGTCATCGAACGAGCCAGTCACCTACACGCTATTTCCAAAGTCTTTTCTAGATAAGGCTAGAGTTTAAATGCTAACCAATGTTTTTCTATGCAATAAATATCATGCATGTGTGACTTCAGTTACCATGCAATGTTGAAATAAGTAATGACATCAATGACTTTCTTCACCCCTGTAAATTTCTGGTCAAATAGAACGAATCCTTTGCAAGTTTCGAGCAGATAATACATAAAGAAAAGATTCACGTGTAATCAAGCAATAGAACAACTGAATTAAAACATTCTTTGCAAAATTCCATTGTGCTTGGAGCATATAAAAAAGAATTTCAGTCATTCAACACAAAAAAGAAACTGATAATGCATCCTCTAGATCTATGTAGACATGAGAGATGATTACAGAAACAAAATTAATTCTACTAATGGCTCTTCATGTTTTCCCTTAAAAAACAAGCTCATGAGGTTTCATGCCTGCCTTGAGCGAAAATCTTGCACCCAAATAGCTTTTCAGATCTGGAACAGCCTCAATTGATGTTATCAAAGCTGCATCTAGAGTCTTCTGGTCGTCTTTCTTTTCCTGTGGAAGTGTGTTCTTTTCCTGTAATACAGATTAATAAAGAATCAGGTATAAGAATAGCAGAAACCACTGACATAAGAACAAATAAAACACAGAAAAATAACAACATATTTGATGTCCCAGAAAGGGCCTGATGAAATTGTGGCGCCAGTAATCAGCTATTACTTAGAAGACTAATGAGCTTAATACTTGATATAGCTTCATCAGCTATTATTCAAATGACCAAAAATTGTAGTACTTTGAAAAATCATCTTCAGTTTTCAGCTTAAAGCATAACATGTAGTTCAATATCAATATCAGAAAGATTCCTACCGACATGGGATTTCCCTAAAAAGAGAAGACAGAGATGTTTACATTTCCATGAGTCGGATGGTGTTTATATATAAAGAGAGTAAGACAGCATTACCTCTTTCTCTGCCTCGAAAAACTCGCCCTCTCCTTTCTTCTTCTTCTTTTCAACTTTCTTTCCGAAGTATTTGTCATCAAACTTCTCCACATTTACCGCAGTGATGTCAGCCTTCGTTGATGTGGCAATAACGTATGACTGATTCACCCTCCTCAAAGGAACACCATTAATCTTAAAGGGGCCTACAAAATGAAAGATGTATTAGAAAAAAAAAGTGACCACTATTAGAATATAAACAGAAAGCATCACTTTCCAAACAAATTCTATTCTAGTACATATATGATTCTGTGTATTTCTCTCTACCCACAACCAACAACATCCATATCATATACAAATACAATTCTATCAATTCCTATCATCAAAATGGAACAACTCAGTAATTTCATAGATTTAACAAAAGCAAAGTAGCAGAAAATATCAGCAACTGCAGATATCAAAAGATGTGTAAACTACCTTAAGCAAATATCAGTTTTTAAACATCAGAGATCAGATAGAGAAATGTTAACTGTCGCATGAAGAAGAAAAAAACATAGTTTTTAACAGCCAAATCGAGGAAGTAAAAAAGCAAAACTTCTATAAACAGGCACAAAAAGGAAAAAGAGTTAACCTACCAGTAACCAGCAACAATCCAGAAGTCAGTTGTTTAAGAAAAACAACCCTCTTGCCCTTGAACCTCCCAGCCAATATGATCAGCACAGTTCCTGGAGTAATGCTAGCCCTGAAAACATGAATGAATGATCAAAAAATTCATCAGAGATGATGAGATGATACATGTACCCATAGCATAGATATTATTTATATACCTGAGCTTAGTTGGTCTGGCTTTGCGCTTATTGACAAGGGGTTTCTTCACATCATCAGCGGGATAGAACTTCGGAGGCTTCTCAGGCAGAGCAGCAGCAGCAGCTTTCTTCTCGTGTTTGGGGAAAGCACCACCATTCTTAGCCTTGATAGCCCAAAGACCCCTCTTGTGATACATCTTAGAGCGTGAGTATTTCCCCACCCCTCTAATCAAGTCAGGGTTCCTGCACACATGGGGCTTTCTGTCCTTTGGTGCCATTGCTCTTCTGCCCTCACTATATACTGGGTCTGGAAACGGAACCAGGTAACAGTTTTAAACTCCCATATCGAAATACAAATTTAGCAATGGGCACAAAACATATACACTGTCCAAACATGACTATTTTTTCTAAATTTACACAAGCCAACTCTAAACGGACAACAAGTGTTCATGAAGCATGTAAAGTATGTGTCATCAGATGGGTAGATTATAGAATTAATTATCAACTCAAACTAGATTCTCACCAAGAAACACGTAAAAAATAGATAATCTATATAGCATCAACAAGCAAGCAAACGGTTAGCTGATCAATCCAATGTGTAAATCAAACAGTTTGAGGTAGACAGTATTGAAATATTGCAATCCTTTATTTGCTCAGGAATGCTAGTACTTCACACACAGAACTAAATCAACACTTCCCATACATTGCCAAAATCCACAAAAACAAATTCAAAGGGCTGGAACACATTTTACACAAATTCTCCTGACTATATTAAGAGAAATTCACAACATAATAAACCAAAAAACTGTAAGACTTCAAATTGAAGAGCACTAACATACATTTCAGGCGAGTTAAATACAAAATCCTAGATGAAGTGTACGACGCGTTTGATTGTGTAAATTGAGAAAACAAGCACACATAAATCAAAAACCAAAATTTTCATAGTTGTAGGCATAAATCATAAGCAAATCGTCAAAATATCACATTACCGGAAACTAAGTTGCTCCGGTGCGGCGGGTGCAATCGGCTGATAAGAAAATGGAAGAAACCCTAATAGCTGGGGGGGTATAAGATAAAATGCCTGAAAGGGTAAAATTGTCATAATAAGTTCTTTCTGGGCCGAATGGACGGGCTGGACTTGTTATTGCCCTTCAAGTTCAAGATGGTCTTATTGAATCTCAAAAACTATTTCAAATATGTTTCAAATTTTAATAAACAGCTCGAAAACTATAAATATTAAAAAATGAACGTTATTTGCGTAATGCAGCGAGATAAATCTTCATTTTAATGTTTAGTTTTTATTATTTGTTTCTATTAATTTAATACGATTTTATGTGATTTTGAAAAAACGGTAATGTTTTTATTTTTGAATGAAGTATAAATTTGAATACAACATAAAATTTTTGACAAGAAAATAAATCGATATTAATATCAAATTAATTATTTAAAAGTTCTTGTTTTTTTTTGTAAATTTTTTAATTCAATGTTTATTATAATTTAATTTAGATTTAATAACAATATAATTTATTTTTTATAAAATAATATAATTTTTATAAAGTAATAATTAAACATTCTATTAGAACTCAATGATTATCTTAATTATATTTTAGATTTTCTATATTTAAAATGGATGTTTATCCTTATATTTGATTATGTTTGTCTGCAGTTAGTTACATGAATTTAAAAATTGATCTTTAATAAGTTGTACTTACGCAAAATTACTTGTAATCTTGAATTTTAAGTAATATGCATCAATAAACAGTATTTCATGCATAAAAAATGGTTTTTAAGAGTTGTTGTCAAATTATTTATAATTTATTGATGCATATTACTTAAAATTCAAGATTACAAGTAATTTGTGCGTAAGTACAACTTATTAAAACTTTATATTTAAATTCGTGTAACTAACTGCATATAAACATAATCACATAGAAAATAAACATCTCATTTTAAATATAAAAAATCTAAAATATATTAACGATAATCATTTTTTAACAAAATACTTAATTATTATATTTATAAAAAATTATATTATCAAACCAAAAATAATAAATGAATTAAAAATACACAAAAAATAAAATTTTTAAATAGTTAGGTTGGTACCAATATCAATATTTTTTTCCAGTTTTATATGATATATGTTTCATATTTATATTTTATTCAAAAATAAAAACATTATCGTTTTCTCAAAATCACATAAAATCGTATTATAACATCGACTGAGAAAAAAAAATGAAATATTAAAATCGATATGTATCCTGCTCAATTGTACGAGTACCCTTCTCGTAATGTACTAGTAGGAATTAAAATTAGGAATTTAGAACAATCCAACGAATTATCTTATTTCTAATGATTAAGTCGTTAAACTATTGTTTTGGCTGAAAAAATGATAAACTTTCTAAATTTGAATTATTAAGTTTTTAAACTATTTTTTTGAATGATTAAATCACTGAACATTTTTTTTAATGATTAAATCCCTAAACATTTTTTAAATAATAACCCGTTGGACTTTTTAAAAATTGGTTAACTATATCACTTTAAAAAAAAAACTACTTGTGACCAATTAGGAAGGTTTAAAGTAAAAATAAATCTAAATTAGTTTTATCGTCTCCAAACCCTACGTCATTTGAATCTCATGCAAACACCGATATCACTCAGCAACACCACTCCTTGTCTCCCCATTATTGTTTGTTCTCTATATTGACGATCGCGTTGTTAGCCCCTGCCATCGATCATCCTCTTTTTTATCTGTTTTTTTATTCTCTCTTTTGATAGATAAAAAAATAAATAAAAAATAGGAAGATCAATGACATGGGTCAACGGTGTGATAGGCGATATAGAGAATGGGCAACAATGAGGTAAATAGATGTGATGAAGGGGAATGGTACCTCTGTTTTCAAGGGTTTGAACGATGTAGGGTTTGGGAACAGTAAAACTGATTTAGCTTTCCTTTTACTTTAAAACATTTATAATCCGTTACAAGTAGTTTCTTTTTCTAAAGATAGTGCAACTAACCAATTTCTAACACTTCGATGGTTTATCTATTAAAAAATGTTCAACGACTTAATCATTTAAGATGAAAAAGTTTACTGTTTTTTAATTAAAAAAAATAGTTCAAAGACTTAATCATTAAGAAAGTTTAATAGTTATTTATTCAGAAAAATAGTTCAAAAACTTGATAATTCAAAATGAGACAATTCATTGATATTTCTGAACTTTTTCCTATAAAATATTCATAATTCTTTTTTATAAATTTTCATTTAATTTTAAAAAGGGAAAGTCTAAAAACCCTAACAAATTTTCTCATTTTAAATGGTTAGTCTCGAAACTATTTTTTTGAATGAAAAAATAGTTAAACTTTCTCATTTTAAACTATTATGACCATGAACCATTTTTTTGCATGAAAAAAACTATTAAACTTTTACATTTTGAATGATTAGACCATCATCTATGTCACGCCCCGAATTTTTATTTTTTTTATCGAGTGTCGTGACGTCATTCTTAATAACTTAAGTCATGAACGAAAATACGAACTTAAAATTCCAAACACACATAATATGTTTAACATAATTCGTTACATCATTGCGGAAGCGTAAAATACTTTAACATAATCAATGCTAATTAAAAAGTCTAATCAAACATGATTTCAAAACATAGTCCCTTCTTTCTTTTTTCACTCGTCTACTGACGAATGACACCTGAGATATATACATGTATAGTATAAGCAAAAAGATTAGTGAATACAATATGGTTTCATGATCACATGCACACATAAAATAGCGTTTTAGCGTATTTTAATTATTATCTTGTAAGTGAGGCCTCGGCTCGTCACTTTTCTTTGCGTATGTGGCGTATTCTATGGACCAGGACCCCAAGACCTCGGAATTGCAAGCCCTCCTTTCATGTCCAACCCACCACGTACGGTGGACGAATCTTGCCGTATCATACTAGTTGCATATCATTTATTTGCAATATTCACTCATTAATGCAAATCTCAACGTGACATGCAACATACATCTCATGCAAGTGACAACATAAAATCACATATGCATCATCATCATTTTTCACATTGTACACATACTTGAATATCATCTCGATAATATCAAGTCATCATAATCTTTCTCATTAACATCACCTTTAATATCATGCATATATTTAAATATCATGCACATCAATGTAATCAAGTTATCATCATATGCATATAAACATATCATRTATATATCATGGATAAAATACTTTTATAATAATCATGTATATATCCCATAAAAATCGCATAATGTACTCACCTTGAATTGTTAACGTTCAGTAGGCTTTTCTCTCAAAAACGGTAACCTACATGATAATTATACCATGATATCTCATTAACATCTAAATATCTCCAAAAAGTCAACAAAAGTCAACTATTGTCATTCTGCCCCAACCTAAAGTCAAACTTCGTATACGAGCATCTTAGTATACCTCAAACAACTATATTTGACCTATCATTAACATCCACATAGGTCAAACGAACCAAAAGTCAACCCTTGGTCAACTTAGTCACTCCAAGGAAGACTAGAGCCTCTGGTTGTATTGACCAGAGCCTCTGTAGCGACCAGAGCCTCTGGTTGTATTGACCTGAGCCTCTTGTGGGCGGCCAGAGCCTCTGTGGGCGACCATACTTAGAAAATAAATTAACATCAAACCAGAGCCTCTCTGGTCTCTCTTCCAAAACTTCTGTTCTCACGACCAGAGCCTCTGGTTGTACTAACCAACACTTATGACTCGTATACTTTAAAAATGGTCATTCATCTTATGGAGCAAAACTAGGAACATACTGCTTCGGTCCATCGGGCCTCTGGTTCTAAGCCACACTTGAAACGTATTTCGTTATTCAGGGCCAGAGCCCCTCTGGTCTCTCTTCCAGAGCTTCTGGCTTCACAACCAGAGCCTCTGGTTGAACCAACCNCCAGAGCCTCTGGTTGAACCAACCCATAGCAAATAATTCGACTAGGACCAGAGCCCCTCTGGTCTCTCTTCCAGAGCCTCTGGCTTCACGACCAGAGCATCTGGTCGAGCTAATACTTAGCAAATAATCCAACCAGGACCAGAGCCCCTCTGGTCTCTCTTCCAGAGCCTCTGGCTTCATGACCAGAGCCTCTGGTTGAACTAATACTTGGAAAATAATTCAACCATGACCAGAGCCTCTCTGGTCCTACACAGACTTAAAAGTTAAGATTTGAGACATACGGCTACAAGGTCTTACAGATGACCTAATCACGAAGCTAACCAAATAAGGAATATGGATGATAGTTGAGTGTTTTACCTCTAAACGCATATAATGGATGGGGACTTTGAGCTCCGATTTCTCTCCTGATACTCTATGAAATCTTAGGAAGTTATAATGCAAACTGTAGAGCGAAGTGAAGTCTATTTATATGCTGAGGTTTTTGTCGCAATAGTTGAATAATCGGACCAATGGGGAGCTTCAAATGAGAGGTCGGTATCATATCTCTGAATTGCAGATATTTACAAAACAGGTCCTTCTGTTGGACTTGGTCGTCTCTGACCCGACATAGGTCGCTTTCACACTTTTGCGTTGCAGGTCTGGAGCGTAGGTACAAAACAGACTCTTCTGCATTTGCAGGTCTGGTGCAAATTTTACAGAACAGGTCCTTCTGATTTGGACATGTTTACCTTTGACCCGACTCCTTTAACTTTCACGAATTTACAACTTTTACCCATGTCCCGACATTCTCTTTCACTTAAGGTCCGAACTTTAAACTTATTTTGAGATTTCGATTACTACTTCCTTAACTAACTACATAAATATTTTAACACCTCAAACGAATTTAATAAATAAAAATTATCTATTTAAAGACCCGTACGATATAAATTTTGGGTTTTACAATTTAAATAAATAAAAAAACCCCATTGAACTTTACTAGTCGGTGAATGTAACTTTTTTTGTTAAAAAATGATGGAGGTAACCAAATTTTAAAAGTACGTTAGCTTATTTATTAAAAGATATTAAGGGATCAATACAAA